GCACCTATTTTGTGAGAAAAAAAGCCCTTCCGTGCACCAACCAGCTTCCAGCTTTTATTTGCAAAGCTTAACTGAAGCTAGAAACTGATTGGTTACTTAGCACAGCTGTTCCAGATTCCAGGCTCACACAATCAGCGAGGAGGCATGTCATTCAACCCATAAGACTGAGGACATCTAGTGACCAAAAAGAGGTACTGCTGAGTACAGTTCTGGATTGAAGGTGAGTATTGCATCCTTAGCTGGAGAACATTTAAAAGAGAATATCTAGCCAGCAGTTGAGCTTTAAGTCTCATTCCCTTTAAAGTAGTTGGGATTTAAAGGGAATGAGATTCTTTATTTTTTATTTATATATATATATATATATATATATATATATATATATATATATATATATATACACATTCAAGGTATTGCAATGTTCTTTTGAGCCAGCAGGTACAGATAAATAAAGAGTAGGATGTAAATGTCCTCTTCATATTGGCTCCATGGTGTCCAGATGAGAACATGTGGGAAGCATTGTGTGTATTTATTTTCTGGAAGATGAAGCAAGGAGTGAAGGAAGTGCTTTCCAACACCCCCATGCAACCCTAAAAAGGAAGCAGACAGAAGCACACTGTAGAGTGACAAGTAGTAAAAAGGTAGATTTGTGGCATTCAAAGCTCCCTGAGTGAAGTAGAGGATGCAGAGGAAACCAGGGGCGGACTGACCATTTGGAAACTCGGGCACGGCCGAGGGCCTGGGGTCAGTAGGGGGCCCCATGAAATGCCCCTGGTACCTTTTTCATAGGCTTTTTTGAGTTTGGGCAAGGACACAGGGGCCCCATGACCTCCTATTGCCCGGGGGCCCCATGAGTTGTCAGTCCGCCCCTGGAGGAAACATTCTGCATCACTCATGGAATAAATGTTAGATGCTTTTATTGCAATAATGGTAACATAGCACACTCTAGTGGAGGAGAATGGCAGTACATGTCAAGCTATACTCCAGACCAGGGGTTCTTGAAACTCTAATCCAAAGACCCAAATATGACAACCATACTGTGACCCGAGAAGAGAACTATTACCAAAATGTCAGAAAAGCTGAACGAAGACAGATAACAATGGCCATATAACACACTGCAGAAGCTCTTCACAATATTTATTAAAGCACAGTGGCTAAATGGTTAGCACTTCCGCCTGGCAGTACTAGGGTCATTGGTTTAAATCCCAACCACATGGCACCACCTGCCTGGAGTTTGCATGTTCTCCCTGTGCCTGCATGGGTTTCCTCCTGGTTACTCTGGTTTCCTCCCACACTCCAAAGACATACTGGTAGGTGAATTGGCTCCTGTCTAAATTGTCCCTAGTATGTGTATGTATGAATGTAAGTTAGGGACCTTAGATTGTACGCCCCTTGAGGGTTAGGGACTGATGTGAATGTACAATATATATGTAATGTGCTGTGTAAATTGATGGCGCTATATAAGTACCTGAAATAAATAAAGCCGAAAAAAGAAATTCTTCATTCAATATTATTATTATTATACAGTATTTATAAAGCGCCAATAGTTCGCTCAGTGCTGTACATTACAAAGGGGGACAGAACATGTGACAGAACAACACAGGAATAGCTGTGGGGATGGAGTGGTAGAAGAGTGAGGAGGTCAGCAATTAGCAGGGCTGGGTACAATGCAAAACATGAGGGGATCGAGGGCCCTGCTCCTTGGAGCTTACAATCTAGGAGGGAGGGGGATGGTGGCACAGGAGGAGATAGCTGTGGGGGATGGAGTGGTAGGAAGAGTGGAGGAGGTCAGCAAGTTAGCAGGGGGTGGGGTAGGCTTCCCTGAAGAGGTGGGTTTTCAGGGGTGCGCCTAAAGGAGAGGAGAGTAGGTGATAATCTGATGGGTTGGGGCAGGGAGTTCCAGAGGATGGGTGTGTGACACCCTGGAGAAGTCCTGGAGGTGGGCATGGGAGGAGGAGACCGGGAACTAAAGAGAAGGAGGTCTTGTGAGGAGCGGAGTGTGCGTGCTGGGTGGTAATTATATATTATATATTTTCTTTATGACATTTACAACCAGCACTGGGGTTTGTTTACCTGAAAACATTGTCTGTAATTCCCTCCACCCCCTTCTTGCATGCTACCTCATCCTCCATAGGTGTGTCTGTCCTGTCAATCATGTTAGTTTAATTGTTTCACATTTTTAGAGATGGGTGGCGGATGGGAAGATGTATGTTTCATCCAGTGATACAGGGACAGCAGTGTATATTCGCTGTATTTAAGATTGTGACGGTGTATGAGTTTCAGCAATAGATAAAGGTTACTATTTAATGATCTGATAGACTACGTCTAGAGATTGTATACAGTCATGTATATACCCAAGTGACACAATTTGGATCCAAACTTACAGTTTAAGATGCATTGCTCCAGACAGGATGGGTAAAAAAACAACTTCAATTATGTATTTGTTAGAAAGCCAATTAATGTACGGCTTCATGAAACTATGTAGGTAGGTATTGATTTTTTCTTTCTTGATACTACCCCCCTGTAATTCCTTGTATAATAGTGACTTTATTGGGAGTGACAACACTAGGAGCAAATTAAGCTGTGCTGTAGCTGACAGGGTGAGACCAGAGGGATGGTCTGCTGGGGTTTTTTTTTATTTCTTTATTGTCCTTTCGTCATGCTGGGGTGTGTGCTGGACCAAGGATAAGGATTTTGGGTGTGCCATCTAGCAAGGGGGTCAGAACAAAATACGAAATGTAAATGGAGCTGCGCATGCACAGCTCTTTCTACATTCAGCAGAGAATTGCAAACAACAGGCAGCTGCTGTTTTTATTTATTTCTTTCTTTATTGTCCTTTTGTCATGCTGGGGGTGTGTGCTGGACCAAGGATAAGGATTTTGGTGAGCCATCTAGCAAGGGGGTCAGAAACAAAATACTGGCTGCCCACAAATACAAATTATTTATCCCAATAGGCCTTAAAGTGGAACTAAAGGCAAAAACGCTCACCTATACTCCAACTGTCTGATACTAGCATGATCTTTACTAGAATCGGCTTCTCCTTCTGGATGTCGGTCTATGGCTGTCTTGAATGGCCAGTGCAGGTTGATGTCACTCCTGCATTCAGGAGTAATTCATCATGACCAATGACACTGTGCTGGAAATGTAAATGGAGCTGCGCATGCACAGCTCTTTCTACATTCAGCAGAGGATTGCAAACAAAAGACAGCTGTTTTTTTTTTATTATTTCTTTATTGTCCTTTCATCATGCTGGGGTGTGTGCTGGACCAAGGATAAGGATTTGGGTGTGTCATCTGGCAAGGGGGTCTGAATCAAAATACTGGCTGCCCAGAAATACAAATTATTTATCCCAATGGGCCTTAAAGTGGAACTAAAGGCAGAAACGCTCACCTATACTCCAACTGTCTGATGCTAGCATGATCTTTTACTAGAATCGGCTTCTCCTTCCGGATGTCGGTCTATGGCTGTCTTGAATGGCCAGTGCGGGTTGATGTCGCTCCTGCATTCAGGAGTAATTCATCATGACCAATGACACTGTGCTGGAAATGTAAATGGAGCTGCGCATGCACAGCTCTTTCTACATTCAGCAGAGGATTGCAAACAACAGACAGCTGATGTTTTTTTTTTATTATTTCTTTATTGTCCTTTCATCAGGCTGGGGTGTGTGCTGGACCAAGGATAAGGATTTGGGTGTGCCATCTGGCAAGGGGGTCTGAATCAAAATACTGGTTGCCCAGAAATACAAATTATTTGGCAGGTACAGCAGTTCCCATATCTAGCTACTAGCCCAGAATACATATTTCAGAACTGAACTCCAAGCAGGTCCCTGTACATTCGGGTATTGGGCATTCAGGGATGTTCCGGCTGTCTCTTACAGTGCAGTGTTTGGTGCTTGAGTAGCCCATTATCAGAGAATGATGAGGAACTTGCCAATGGAGGCCAATCAGAGTCCTTGTTTTATTCCTGAGAATAAAAGATGACACCTAATTGCATATTACGTTTTCCAATTGCCCTGGGAAATTTAGTTCTCTCCAATTTTTACTCACATGCCGTCTGAAAATTGAAGGCTTCATAAAAACAACCTTTTCACTACACAAAAAAATAATTCACAAGCATCACAAATAAGTCTTTGCTGTCTTGCAGAGATACAGTCACTCATGTCTGGTGTGTGTGTGTCCATTGCACAGTTGTTCAACCCAATGGTCACTTCATCACTACAGTATCCCTACTGTTGCTGATACCTGGGATTTTTCTACATTTATCCCAATGGGCCTTAAAGTGGAACTAAAGGCAGGAATGCTCACCGATGCTCCAACTGTCTTCTTGGTCTTTTGTCAGTATCGACATCTCCTTGGTCTCCATCTGTCGGTCTATGGCAGTCTTGAATGCCAGTGCAGGATGACGTCGCTCCTGCATGCATGAGCAATTCATCATGACCCAATGACACTGTGCTGGAAATGTACATGGAGCTGCACATGCACAGCTCTTTCTACATTCAGCAGAAGATTGCAGACAACAGACAGGTAAGTGTATTTTATTGCAGAAGATACAGTAGATACAATAAAGAGCCCACTGGTTCACACTTGTTTTCTTTATCCTTTAGTTCTCCTTTAAGCCTTTTACTTCCAACGCGGTAACTATTACAATGGCGGTAGTAGCTGAATGTAAACAAACAGTAGCAGCCATAAATTTGTTTACTTCTAAAGAGCAGGCTTCTGGCGATGGTATTGAACTGATCCAGATGCTGTATTGCCTGATTGCTTTTGCAGTGCTTGCATTGTGTCCCATTCTTCCATCTCTTCTGTGAAGTAAACTCTGAGCACTTCCAGGTCCCAAGCTGTTGGTTCCCAGCTAGGAGAACCAGATTAACTGCTTTCCCACCGCCCTAGAGTAGAACTACTCCTGCAGGACTGCTCAAAATCGTATATATACGCAATTTTCAATCCCGGGTAGGAAGCGTTCGTCACCCTACCCGAGCCGCCATTGGCAGCTAGGAATGTCAATCACCAGATCCCGGCCGGAGATTCCCCGCCGGCACCCAGCGATTGCCATGTAAAGCTGACAGGGGAGAAACCTGTGTGTAAATAACACGTCTCTCTCCTGCCAGCAATAACATGCTGCACCGCAGAGAAATACAAAGCAGCATGTCTCCCTTGTAAAACACACAGCACATAATGTGAAACAGCACACATTTAACCCTTTGATCGCCCCAGATGTTAACCCCTTCCTGCCCAGTGTCATTACTACAGTGTAAATGCTTTTTATTAGCACTGATCACTGTATTGGTGTCACTGGAGATGTCAGTGGAAGTTAGGAAGTTCCCCCCCAGTGTCAGGATGACCATGGCAGTCCCGCTATAAGTCGCTGATCGCCGCCATTACTAGTATAAAAAAATTTAAATTCCAGTACCTATACGGCCATTTGTAAACGCTATAACTTTCACATAAACCAATTAATTTACACATATTGGGATTTTGTTTAGCAAAGACATGGAGCAGAATACATTTTGGCCTGTTTATGAAGAGATTAGATTTTTTAATTGAAAAATTGTCTGTCTTTTTTTGTTTATAGCGCATAAAATAAAAACCGCAGAGGTGATCAAATACCACCGAAAGAAAGCTCGATTTGTGGAGAAAAAAAGAACATAAATTTAATTGCATGACCGCGCAATTGCTAATTAAAGTATCGCAAAAAATGGCCTGGTCAGGAAGGGGGGTAAATCCTCTGGAGGGCGAGTGGTTAAATATTTTAAGCACTTTGCATAAATAAAACAGTTAGTCACTTGTGTCTTCTTCAATTGAGAAATAAATGTAATAAATAATATAAATAAATATAATACACAGACAATTGTTTACAATAAATATGAGACCCAAATTAAATAATGTCAACAAATCTTTAGGGTTGATTTACTATAACAGGAGTGTGCAAAATCTGGTGCAGCTTCCAGGTTTAATTGTCAAAGCTGAATTGAACAAGCTGAAGTTAGAAGCTGATTGGCTCACAGGCACAGCTGCACCAGATTAGCTCTCTCCAGTTATGCTGGCTATACACTATTCAATTTTCTTGAGAATTTTGCTTTAGATTTACCAAAAATCATATAATAGGAGGGCAAACCTAAAACAACATTTTCAATTGCATCCAATCAGGCAGGCCCTTGTACTACATAGTTGAAAGTAAATCTAAAGGAAATTGGGCAGAAAATTGTATAGTGTATGGTCAGCCTTACACCCTGGTCACACCAAACCCGACTTTGAAATCGTGAGACTTAGGCTACGTTCACACTAGCCTTGTTAGCAAGCGCCAGACAGGCATTTGGGAAGCGTTTTTACCGTTTCCCAAACGCCTGGGAAAATTCTGCACATTGCAGCACATGGTGCTGTTCAAACGTTAGCGTTGCGTCGCGGCAAAACGGACGCTTCTGGTGGAGTCAGGAGTTGAAGCCTCCTATTCAAGTCTATGGTGCCGCGCTGGCGTTTGCGGTGCGGTTGCCACACGGTTGCGGGGAGTTTTTTGGAGCGTTAACAACATTCAAACTTCATTATAGGCGTTTGTGGGGCGTTTTTAAAGCTTTAACGCCTAGCAACCGCCGCTAAACTGCGCATGCGGCGTTTGCGGAGCATTAAAAACGCTCCGCAATGCCGGACCAATGGTTGTCGAACGCTATAGGGGCGTTTGGCAAGAGTTGGAAAAACAGCCAAGTGTGAACGAGCCCTTATGCTAGCCATACATTATACAATTTTCTTGAGAATTTTGCTTTAGATTTACCAAAAACCATATAATAGGAGGTCATACCTAACAACACTTTCAATTGTATCCAATCAGGCAGGCCCTTGCACTTCATAGTTGAAGGTAAATCTAAAGGAAACTGGACAGAAAAATAGTGTAAAGTGTATGGTCAGCCTTACAGTGTATCCAATCAGGCAGACAGACTTCATTTGAAGGTAAAGTCGGATGACATGCCTTACCAATTTTTCATGACATGCCAATTTCAGGTGCAATTCAAGGCATCTGACACAGATGTCTATGCAAATAGCACCAAAAGTAATGCATGGACTACTTTAGAAATTGGTGCGATCCGACCAACTCGGAACCGCACCGACATGACCGCTGTAATTGGGGAAAATAGGGTGCGACTTGGCATGCAATGTGTAAGTCTGGAACATGGCAAAATGCATCAAAAACACGCATATAAACTCAATCGAGATGAAGCAAAAAAAAAAAAAGGAAAAAAATCCACACTGGAACACATCGAAAACACGCCTGTAGAAACACATTTGTAATGAAGAAATAGCGGAGTGAACCGGGCTGAAATGTTTTTTTTTTTTTACACTAATTGCTGCAGAGTTTTTAATTTGTGTACACTAAGTCCCCGGTCACACTGGACGCGAATTGACATGCGACTTTCAGCCTGGGTTCACATATGTGCGGTGCGGTATATCGCATGTGAATGCGCACAGGAACCGTACTGCATGTGATTTGTGTGCGGTGCGATTAGAGCCAAATGTTTGTACGTCTCTATTCACACCACACCAGAAACGTGCAGGACCTTTTTTTTGGGTCCACACTAGAATCGTATCGCATGGGTATTCACACCTATGCAATTCAATTCTGCACATCGCACCGCGTTTTGCAGACCGCTTTCGGAGTTTTGTTAACATACACACCCGCAGTGGTTCGCATGATGCGATTCTGATGCGGTGCGGAATTCGCACTGAAAACGCTGCAAACCGCATCGCATCAGTGTGAACCAGGGCTAAAATCGCATGCCAAGTCATACCCCATCGTCCACAATTAGAGCGGTCATATCAGCACAGTTCTGACTTGGTTGGAGCTGCACTGATTTCTAAAGTAGTACATGCACTACTTTTGTTGCGATTTGCATAGACATCTGTGTCAGATGTCTTGCAAATCGCACCTCAAATCAGCATCTCACCCGACTTTGAAATCGTGCGACTTCACTGTAAGGCTGACCATACACTATACAATTTTCTGCCGTGTGCAGAATTTAAAAAAACGCTTCCCAAACGCCTGTCTGTTGCCTGCTGACAAAGTTAGTGTGAACGGAGCCTTATGCAGGCCAAAAACGGCTCGAAAACCACACGTTTTTTCAAACGATAAACAAAAAATCAGTCGTTCGTTAAACCGACGTTATCACCAACGATTACAAAAATCGACCGACCAAGTCATAAATTTCACCCCATACAACAGCCAAAACTTCTGTTCCTTCCAGGTCACGGCTCATGCGCATTTTTGTTTCATTAAAACGATCGTACGCTTTGGCCATCATTGCCGCAAAAATCCACAAATTTTCCAACATGACTGATAATCCAAAAGTGCAAAAAACCCGAAAACCGGCCGACCAATTAACCCACTAACAGTGCGAAAATCAGCCAATTAATCTTTCAAACGAAAAATCGTCTGATTTTCAAACCATCTATGGCCGGCATTAATTTCAAAGTTGGGTTTGATGCGACCGGGGTGTAAAGTTAGTTTTTTTTTCTGAAAATAGGTTTTTCTAAACAGATGCACAAATATCATACAAAAAAGTGCAACTACCATGATTTTACAAGTGTCAGCTTTCAGAAAACATGCTTTGGCGTTGGAAGGGCATTTTCCATGGAAGAAACAGGCATTTATTATGGGGGGGAAAAAAATGGGCCAGGCAGTGAAAGAGTTAAAAGCCAACAACAGGAAGAATTCTGAAGTCAGTAGATATAGATAATAGCGCAGCGCTTCTGATGAATGGAAATGGTGTGATCAGCGTGGACTGTGTGCAGCATTGCCAGCCAAGCACATGCTCAGTACTAGTACCAATACAAAGCACTGAGCAGGCCTGGTGTGTGGATGGAGGGGTTGTCACCATTTCCAGGTCTGCTTTGCCAGCTCTCTCTGCAGATCACCTGTGCGCTCACCTTTTTCCTATCCTTCCACCCACACTGTTGTGTCTGAGTTTTCCTCCTGTGATTGCTCATCACTTCCCTGTTCTCTCCGCCTTCCTCCCCTCCCTCATTTCCTCCCACTTGTATGTGAATAGCTTCCATTCTAGCAGACCTCTCTAGTCCCTCCCTTCCCATGTCCCTCCCTATCTGCCTTACCTTTCTACTTCTTCCCGAGTGTACATGAGTGTACAGCGCCTTCTTCTTCCCCTCCTCCTTCCCTCACCTCTCCCTGATCACTCCCTCTCTGGATGGATGGGACTTGATCCCACACACACAGCATACAAGAGCGATCCTACCTCTGGGACCTGTCACTCCATGGAGGATCAAAGGACAGGGGGACTCACCTGCAATGTAAGACCTTTGTAACTTCCTTCATAGCATTGCTACCAAAAGGAAACTTCTCATCCTAAACCGATTCCCCCCCATCCGTTGTGTCTGCTGCACTTTTTATGTGATATTTTATAGAATTCCTTCTTGGTGAAACATTCCGTGGTGCCGGAAATCCAGGATCTGGGACAAGAGAACAGAGTTCTGAGAACCGTCCTGCTTTTAAAGGATCTCCCCTGCTAAGAGACTGCTGCATCCCAGAGGTATTGTAGTCCTAGAAGTCACACACCTGGGGATGACAGGGAGAGAGTGCGATCCGAGAGGGAACCAAGTCCAGCCTGGGTGTGACAGTCGCTGTTCCTGCAGGCAGGGTGCATCTGTGTGTCACATTGTCATCGTGCCGCATTCCGCATAGTTTTCTACTGACTGGAAGTGCCGCCTGTCTTCTACATCTCCGATCGAGCCGTGGTGTCACTGAGATAGCAGTGGTGTCACCGGGACCATGGCGGAGCAAGAGGGGCTACAGTTCGGGAAAGCGGACTTTGTTCTTATGGACTCCGTGACATTACCAGAATTTATGGGAAATTTAAAACTCAGGTAAGTGTCTGCTGCAAAATTCCAAGTGACAACTCCTAGAGAGTACAGGTGTCTGTAGCAGCCAATCAGAACTCATCTTTCACCTGTCTTACTATAGCAGCTGACGTTTAATTGTTTGCTATAGGTCTCTGCACTTTGCTGATTACAAGGCTTATCTCTAACCAGGGGCGGACTGACCATTTGGAAACTCAGGCACTGCCCGACGGCCCGGGATCAGTAGGGGGCCCCCACGAGATGCCCCTGGTACCTTTTTTTTCATAGGCTTTTTTTTTAGTTTGGGCAAGGACACAGGGGCCCCATAATCCCCCTATTGCCCAGGGGCCCCATGAGTTGTCAATCTGCCTCTGTCTCTAACCCTAGGTTCACATCTGGTGGCGCTGTGGATCCGCACAAAAATCTGTGCAGCCACACCACCCGCATAGAGAAATGCGGACCCGCGGCGGTACGCAACCGTACTGGGAACCGAGGCTGCTTTTTCAAAAGAAGTGCAGGGACTT